GGTCGTTGTTGTTCCCCGCCCCCGCCCCCCCCCACAATCGCCTCCTCCGACGACGAAACAGGGCGCGACGAAGACCTATTCCTTCCGGGGGAAAGCCTCTTCGGTTTCTCCGCCGCCGCGGGGATGGAAGGCAACAACGCCCCCGACGTCGGCGGCGGCGACGGCAGCAACCCCTCCTTTCCGGGAGGCTCGGTGGCGTCGCTGTTGTTCCCGCCGATGGCCTCTTCGCCGTTGCAGGCATCCTCCGGCTCTTTCCAGCCGTCGGCCTCCCTCCCGCCAGGGCCCGATTCGGCGGCGGCGGGCGGGGCGGTGACGGTCCGAGCGAAGGGAGCGGCGGAGGATCGCAGCGAAGGAAGCGGCGAGGGCGACGGTACGAGTGCCGCCGTACAACCCCCTGCGCGAGCAGCACTCTCGCTCAAGCAGTCGCTCGATGCCGCCATTGTTTCCGCCGCAGCCCGTGACGCGAAGAAAGCCGCCGCGGCGGCGGCGGCGGCCGAGACAGAGAAAGTGTCAACGAAAGCCAAGAGCTCGGTACGGGCTCGTCGCCGTTGTGGCGGCGGCGGAGGCGGAGGCGGTTGCGGCGGCGGCAGGAAAAAGATTAAGAGCAAGGGCAGAACCGGTGTGGGCGGGCGCGATGTCGATGCCGGAAAGAAAGCAACGACAGCCGCCGCTGGTGGCACCGCGAGCGCGGTCACGCCGCGACGACCAGCAAGAAACCTCAGGAGACCTAGGCAGGAGTCGGCCAAGAGTACCTCGCCAGTGGCCACCGCTGCCGGAGCTGCGGCGACGGCCCCCGATCTTCCGGTTGCTCCGCCGGTGTCGGGGGTTAGCTTGTCGGCGGGGATGGAGCTCATCCCCGGGTTCGAGGACACAATCGACTCGCACTTCATGACGGCGTTGCTGCAGAGGGGATCCGACACGCAGCCCGGCGTCTCTTCCGCCTCCGTCTCCGCCTCCGCCTTTGCGTCTGCCGAGAGCCAGGTGTTGGCGGCGAACAACGGAGGGGGTGGGGACCCGGGTGGGGAAGAAGTCGTCGGCTTCGGGAGCAATCCGGAGTTGTCCCTGGGCTTTCTGGACGCGCTGCTCGTGGGATACGACACGCAGCCGAGTGAGCTTAACGCCGCCGATGCCGCGGACGCCAAGGGGACGCCGGGGAATAGTTCGGAGTCCGCGGTCCCGGTGGTACTGAAGGCTGCGGCGGATGATGGAGGCTCGGCGGACGGGGCGGGGGTATCGATAGCGCGGGACGCGGGGGGCGACGCTGCACCGTCGTTGCCACCACCACCGGGCCAGGCGTCGGCGCCGCCGTTGCTCCCCACGCGCGATATTTTGTGTCCGGCGGCGGTGGCGGTGGCTGCTGCTGCCGCCGGCGCGACGTTGTCGTCGTTCCGGTCGTCTCGGCACCCGGCGCGCTCTTCGCCGGCAGCGGCGTCGCACCCTTCGTCGGTTTCTTTGTCCGCGGCGCCTGTTGCTGGTGGATCCGGAGTCGCCGCCGCCGCCGCCGCGGTGGCAGCTTCTCCGGCCGCTGCATCACCTTGCGGCGAGAGCCGGACTACAAGGGTGGGTATTCCGCTTCCTGTGTTTTTTTACCAAAGATTGTAGTCGACTTGCACTATCGTCTAGCCCTCCGAGAAGTATGTCTTTTGGCACCGAACTCCGACAGCCTCGCCAGTACGAAAGGATGACAGCATGCGGGGGTTGCTTTGTATGGCCCGAACCCGGGCATTTTGATTTTGCTTACGCCTCGAGAAGTGAAATTTTCCTCGCACGGCTGAGGCTACGCCTCTCGGAATACACTTGACACGCCTGTATCGTCGCCAGAAACACGCTCTCTTCCCTCTATATTCTGTTCGCTCAACTGAGCATACCCGAGGTTGTCAGGGCACTCAAAATCGCGGCACGAGTGCATGTTTTCCCCCGCGTTTCTACCTTCGAATCCCCCCTCTCCCTCCACTTCCGCCGCCCGGTTGACCTTATTTTTACTCTCGTCCAGGTTGAGCTGGCCACCGCATCCGACCCCGGCGTGGCGAAGCTTTCCACCAGAAGGAAAACCGACAAGCCGAAGCGCACCGCCACCGCCACCGTCACCGTCACCGCGATCACCGCGGCAGCAGCAGCGACGGCGGCAGCGGCACCACGTAGAGCGTCGTCGGATGCACCACCCGGGGAAGAAAAAGCGGCGCAACTGGCGGACCCAAGAGCGGTGGAGCCCGCTAGCACAATACAGACGACGAAAACGCTACCCAAGGAGAAGGCCATGGAGCCGCAGCAGGAGGGAGCCGGAGCAGTGCCCGCTTCAGCTCTCCCGCGCGCCAGCGCCGGCACGACGCGGGGGCGGGTGGGGGCAGCGGTTGATGAAGCGATGCAGACGCCTGCCGTGCGACGGGACGAGGTGACGGACAGGTCGAAACAACCGCAGGCTGCGACGCAGCCGCAGGCGAAACCTGCCCCACCCCCGCTGCCCCCCTTGCCGCCGCCGCCGCCGCCGCCGGTGGTCCCCTCGAGGACGGGTTCATCATTCTCCGGGAATGCTGCGGTCGTGACGGAGGGCATGGGTACGGGAGGGTTTGTTGGTCAGCCCGCCGGGTCGGCGAGACCGCCGCCGGTGGCGGCAGAGGCCGTGCGCGGGCGGTCGCCGCCTCGCCAGCTGCCCCGCAAGGTGTCCCTGCGGTTCTCCCCGCGGGATGAATCCACGGAGGGCAAGGTGTCGGAGCACGGCTATCTCCCTTTCCAGAAGCTCACTGCGCCGGTGAGTATTGGCCGTTTCGGGGGGGGGTTGGCAGTGGCGGCAGGGGTACGGTGCCGGGGACGGGAGTGACACGTCATTGTATGTTCGTGACTCATGATTTGCAGTGGGGTTTCGTTGGAGTATTCAACTCAAGGATTACAATGTGCAATGTATCGGAGTGACATGATCTGCTGTTGTGGTTCGTACGTTGAATCAAGTTGAGGGTTCGCGAGATTGGCTCCAGAGACGTGTGGGGGAGGATGTGCTTGATGCCGCCGGTGCGGGGTCTGTACGAGCAGCCAGCCGCACACAGCAGCAAGACCCCTGCGGCTGTTAGCCAAGATTCGTGACGCTGTATCCATGGGCAACCTAAAGTGAAAATGAAAAGGAGCATGTAGCAATACACAGACTCAGACGCTTGCGCCGCTATTCTACTTGGTGTGATGATGAAATTGACACAGATAGCTTGCGGGTTGATCACTTGTTCGACGAACGATGAAAGCGTTGGGCCCTGTACTCTAACCACTCTCTTCACGTTCCCCCCCTGGCCGTGGCGACCGTTTTCAGCTGTCGAAACCTCTCGAGGCGGTGTTCAAGTTCATGGTGAAAAAATGGAGCGAGGTCGCGTACAGCGACCTCAACAGCATCCGCATCGTCTTCGACGCGGATGCCGGCGACACCGGCGTGCCGACGGCGGCGGCGAGCACCCCTGCCCTCTCGCAACCGCCGCCGCCGCCGCCCGCTGACCGGACGGTCGTGTGGGGCGCGGAGCTAAGCAAGAGGCCCCTCCTGGACCTCGTCAGCGCTCTGCCGGGCCCCGCGCTCGACCGCGTCTGCGAAGAGCAGGCGTTGAGCCTGAGCTACACCTTCTTGACTGGCCCCGTCGGCCCGCCCCCTTCCCGCGGCTCGGCGCCGTGGGACGCCGCGCCAGAACAAGAGCCCGCCGCGGCCGTTCGGCAGACCCTGACCCCGACCGCAACGCCTCGGCCCCCCCCGCCGGTAGTAGCACCGACGACGATGGGGCGGCGGCAGGCTGTAGTAGTACCGCGGCTGGGGGCTCTCGGGTGCCCGTTTTCCATACCCGGAGTAGGCGGTGGCGCGGTGGCCGGCGGGAGCGCTGCTGCTGCTGCTGCTGCTGCTGCTGCTGCTACGGCTGCTGCTGCCGCGATGGTCGCTGCTCGGGGAATGGCGTGGAAGGCACCGGTGATGGTCCCGCCACGGCCGCCGCCGCCGCCGGGGAACTTCGCGAGCGGTAGTCAGGCGATGGCGAACGCCATCGCCGCCGCTGCCGCGACGGGGGGGGGTACCGCCGGGGCCGGTGCCTTGCCGAACAACGCCCCGCGTCCGTCGCGAGGGGGCGGCAAGGGTGGCGTCCAGGGCGACACGCTCGCCAACGCCACCCTGAAGAAGCACTACAAGAACATCAGTCGGATGCTGCAGCGGCAGGGCATCGCATCGCCGCCGCCGCTGACCCACTTCCTGCCCGGCGGGCTGTTCGCCAGGATGCACACCGCCGCCGTCGCCGGCGCCATCGGGAATGCGGCGGAAGCGGCGCAGCAGGCACTCCCTGGACGCGTCGAGGTACCTGCGAGAGCCTCGGCGCCAGGATCCTCAGCGCCTGCTGCCGTGCGAAGGGGACGACAAGACCGGATCGGGGAGAAACAGAAGAAGCAGGACCCTCCTTCTCCCGACAGCGAGAAAGGGTTCCAAGACGGGGCCGTCGACAGCGGCGGCGGCGGCGGGGACGGCGGTTTCGAGGACTTCGGGGGCGACGCGAGCAACGAAGTGGGCGACGACGAGGCGCGCGGCGACAAGGCCAGCGGTGCGCTGATGGGAGAGGAGACGTGCATGGCTCTCTTCGGCGGGAACGGAGTGGAGCTGCTCGTGGACCCGTCGCCACCGGGAGGCACGGGCGGGGCGGTAGCGGGGGTAGACGAGAGAGCGGGTGCGAAGACGGCGAAGCCGGATGCGGCAGGGCCAGTGCAATCATCGCCACCACTTAATGGCGGGATGACAGCAACCCCGGCGGCGGCGGCGGCGGCGACGACGACGAAGCCGGCGGGGGCAATAAGCGTGGGGGTGTTGGAAAAAGTGAAGGAGGTGTCGCCCCTCACTGATCCCCCCCTGCGGCGATCGACAAGCACGGCCGTAACGGCGCCGGCACGGTCCGCCGGGGCGCCGGCGTCTCCGCCGCCTGCAGACAGTACCCTCATGGGAGAGGAGACGTGCATGGCTCTCTTTGGTGGGAGTGGAGTGGAGCTCCTCGTCGACCCGTCGACGTCACCGACTGAAGCGGGCGAGGCGGCGGCGGCAGAGGAGGCAGAGGAGGAAGGAGGGGAACAGAAGCGTGCAGGTTTGACTTCAGCGTCGGAGACGCCGCAGCAATTAGGAGGTAGAGGAGCGGGAGAAGACAAGGACTCGGGACGATCACCCGCTCCGCCCGCCCTGCCGCAGAAGTCGCTACCACCGCACACGGTGGCGGCTGCGGCGGCGGCGGCGGTAGCAGAAGCAGGCGGAGGGGCGAGCGCACAGCCAGTGTTGCCAGCACGCACTGTTGGTGCTGTTGTTCCATCGGTGAAGGCTGCGGGGGTAAAGTCAAGCGTGGACGGAAATGTTCCCCCAGACTCGAAGCTAGTTCTTCCATCGCGCTTGGACAGCAGTGCGCCGGTGGTGTGTGCGGGGGGTTCGACGAGGGACAATCGCGTGGAGCAGCGAACCACCCAGGCGGTAGTCCAACCAAAGAGTGGAACCTCGAAGCCGCTGCCGACCACGCCACCGGGCACCGCTAGTGCCCCATCGACAGCGCGCACCGCGGCGGCATCGCCAGCGACGCAAGAACCACTGCCGCAGACGTCGGCATCAGTTTCATCCACGCCCGTTGAGACGGCAGCGCGGTCCCCCGGCTCGTCTCCGCTGCCGGCGCCGCGGCCTGTTTGCAAGGTGGGAAGCCTTCCGACACGCGCAAAGTTCGGTCGCCCGCGGTCGCCCACCGTTCCTGCTGCAGCCACCGCCGCCGCCGCCAGTGCGTCTTCGACGACGCGGGCGCCGGAGCCGGCGGACGAGGGGCCCGCGCGGTCGAGTGGCGCGGGGACGGGCAAGACTCCTGCGGGGCTAGGGCAACGCCTCCCGCCTTCCCCCGAGGTGCCGATGGCGCCGGCCGCCGCCGTGAAGCCCGGAGAGTCCGGCTCGTCGGCCTGCTTTCGGCGGCAGCCTGCGCCAGAGCCAGCAGTAGCGGCAGCAGCGGCGGCGACCACGGACAGCGCTGGTTGCGTCGTTGCTGACAGCGAAGCGGAGGTATGTGGTTGTCGGGATGGGTTGTTGCATGATATGGAACCTACTCTAGGATACGGTGTCGTATACAGTAGGGTGTTTGGAGGCGGGCAGCTTGTTGTGAGAAGCGCAAAGAATGGTTGACTCAGGACCTTGGTATGTTAACGAGTGCGCCGGGCATGCTAGGCCATGTACAGCAGAAGGGGGACCGCCCCTCTACCAACACATACCGCCAATGATACACGAAACCCCCTGAATCTCCGTAGATCAGTATCGAGAGCTGAGTACCCCTACACATAGGTAAGAGCGACCGCCTCTTTCACCCATGTCCGATGACTATATCGCGCTTGTCAACATTCTGCACTACATAGCTGGTTCACAAGCCTCGCTTGCCTATGCTAACACAGCAGTCCTCTCGTGTGTGTCGGCAAGAGCAAAGCGACCCTGGCGGAAGCGTTTGCCAAAATAAAATTGTCCGGCCAGCGGAAGTCGTCCGTGAATTTTCTCATTGCTGCAAAAACGTCGGTCCCAACCAACAGGTGGTGACACCGGTCAATGGTATCGCTCCCGAAGTAGCGGCATCAGGGTCCTCGTCCTGCGACGGCGGCGGCGGCGGCGGCGGCGGCGGCGCGGCGACCGTCACGGCCCCACCAACTCCACGGCCGGCGCACCATTCGGTCGGCACAGCAGGGACGGCGGCGGAGGCCGCGGCAGCCGGGGGTGCGGCGGAGGATTCGCCGCAGTCTCACCCCGGCGGAAGCCGAAAGCTTACCAGGAGCCAATCAAACGGCGGGGACCCCGCGTCGTCGTTCGAGGGCTCCGGCGGGGGGCTGTCGAGCAGACCGGCGGAGGCGGGTGGCGGCAAGGGTTCCGAGAAGCCGCGCACGCACACTTGCTGCCGGGTGGTTGCGGCAGCCCCGTCGGAGGGTGCTACGCCCCCGCCGCCGCCGCCGCCGCCGTCGCCGGTGGTGTCGCGAGCGGCGGAGAAGAACAGCCTGGTGAAGCGGCGGAGGTCGGGCTCTGGAGAGGGTGCTAGCGAGGGACCAGGAAGGAAGCGGGTTGCTCCGACGACTGCTGCGCCGGGCGCAACTCCATCGCCTGCACCGCAGCAGCAGCAGCAGCAGCAGCAACAGCAGCAGCTCGTGGCCACACCGGCGGCAGACGCGCCGAGCGTTCTCGCCGCCTCGCCCGCGGCCGTTGCCCGGCCGTTTGCGTTTGCCTCCGCGGACAGGGCTTTCAAAGGGCGGTCGCCGCCGCTGCTGCTGCGTGTTGGGACGGACCCACCGCGGCCGATTGCAGACGAGGGAACGTCAGCCAAAGGGAAACGTCCCTTTGCCGGGGAGATCGCCGCCGATATGGCTGTCGTTGCGACCGCGAACCAGCCAGGTTGCGAGTTGGAATCCGTCTTTTCCCCTGCTGCTCCTAATGGAGCCCGTGGGGCTACTTCTACCGCTCCCGGGGCCAGGGAAGGGGCGGCTGTTGCTGGTTCCGCCGCCGGCGACGGCGCGTCTCCCGCCGTTTGCGCTGCGGTGGCCTCTCCCCCTCCAGCAAAAGCTCGACGATTTGCGTTTGCGGCTACGGCCGCCGCCGCGGCGAAGAAAGGCGATCGGGGAGAGCTGCTGCGTTACGGTGAGCGACCTACGACCACCAGCGGCGATGCTGATGGCCGAGGGGCGACGGCGTCTCTTGGGACGGTCGCCCCCGCGGCTCCTGTCTCCAACGGCCCTTTCCTCCGCTCCGCGTCTCCCCCGGGAGGGGATGTCGAGGGTTACGATCCGGCGGGGGGACTGATGTCGCCGCCGCGGCCGCCGCCGGTGGCTGTCGCCGCGCGCGAAATCGACAGCGCCTCGCTCTCGCTCTCCATGTCGCGGGAGGAAGTGCAAGCGGGGTACTCGGAGGCTTGGTCTTCTGTGCCCAGCTGCTTGTGGGACGGGGCGGCGCTACTCGACGTCGGCGAGCAGACCGCCGGGGAAGGCCCCGTGACGCGTTGGCTGGCGCTACCTAACGCGGAGCCCTCTCTCGGAGGAAGCGTGGCTGCTGCCACCCCGCCCCCCGCTCCTGCTATAGTTGCTGCTGCTTCAGTAGCTGGTCCCGTTGCTTCGGGCGAGGACTGCGGATTCGGCCGTGGGGAGGAAGCGGCGCCGGATACAACGCCTCAGTGTCCATCGGCGGCCCCTCTCGAGGGGCTTACCCAGCGGGAGGAAAAGAAGTCGAGCTGGGCGAGCTTCTGCGCAGCGTTTACCTCGAGTCGGGGTTCTGCGGCCCCTACCGCCGCTAGCGCTACAAGTCCCGGTCCCCGCGCCGCGGGAGAGGCCCGGTCTCTGCCTACCCTTATCCGGCTCGGCCGGAGCATGACGAAAGGCGTGTCTCCGGTGGGAGACGATGACAAGCCCGCTGGAAAAGGAGATGGCGCTGGCGTGGAGTCGGCGGCGGCGGCGGCGATGGGGAACGGGTCCAAGGCGTCGGCCGCCAGGGTGGCGGCGGCTGCCGGTGCTCCGGCAAGCGCGCCTGCTGCAGCCGCCACCGCCGCCGAATCTACGCTTACAGCTTCGGGCGCGGTGCGGTCACAATCGCTAGCCGTCGATTGTAATGACGGTGGCGGTAAGGATAGCATGAGCTCCGAAACTCTCCGCGGGAGCCGGCGGAAGAGGGACGGCGGCGCGGGTACCAGCGGTGATGGCGGATTGGGTTGCAACTCTGACGCGGGTGGAGAAGAGGCGGCGGCGGCGGCGGCGGCGGCGACTGTAGCGGCGGTGGCTCCCACCGCCCTGCCGAAACGGCGGTCCAAGAAGAAGGGACGGATTGCCCCGACCTTCGTCTCCACCTTGCAGCCCGATTCCTTCGGCACCTTAACAACGGCGTTCTCGAGCAACCGACGTGTGTGAATTGAACCCGGGGCACGGCGGTTGCCCCTCGTGTTTACGGGATTTGGGACTTGTGGTCTGGGGGGTTCGATACGGCGAGTTCGACAACGACTGTTGCTTAGCTTTTGTTCCATGCGGCGTCCCATTAGGCTGTGCCTTTGGTCGCTGAGCGGGGGCAGCGGGGTGTAGGGTGACGGGAATCGTTTGTTCAGCGCTGCGGTTGTGTTGGGGGGGTTCGATACGTTGAGGTCGGCAACAACCGGCACTTGCTGATATTTGCCCGTTCATGCGACAACCATTTAGACTGCGGTGCCTTTGAGCGCTAAGCGGGGGGCAGCAGGGCATAGGTTCACGGAAACCGTTCGTTCAGCGTGGCGGCTGTGTTGACGGGGTACTATACGTTGAGGTCGGCAACATCTGGCACTTCCTGATGTTTGCCCGTTCATGCGGCAACCCTTGAGACCGTGCCTTTGAGCGCTGAGCAGGGGGCAGCAGGGCGTACGGTAACGGGAACCGTTCGGCGCTCTGGGCCGCAAGCAGGCACCCTCGCGCCGCCTTCTTTGTGGCGGTCGTCGTTTTCCGTTTTGATAGTGCTTCCGATTGGGTCCAAGTTTCGCCTTAGAGGGCGTCGGCGAAGCTCGGTCGTAACCGCACGAAGCAACGGGGGGCACCCGCTCCGAAAACGACGGGCGGCTTTTGTGACGGCCGCGTTGCGCGTGGACGATCGGGCTTGGCGCCCTTCGTACTACGGCAACTTTTTTGTTCCACCGCTTCGTCGTGTGTTACCCCTGACGGTGTGGCTAGTTTTGTGTGCGCTTCCGCGAGCTAACTTGTTGGTTAGACTACATGTACAGCACCGGCGTTGTGTGTGAATCGAATTTGGCGGCGTGCGTTGCTTTTGCCGGGACGACGCACGATGAACGGGCTTGAGTCTTGTGTCTCGGCGGGTGTAATTTTCGCGGGAGAAAAGTTCAAAGCGCTGCTTGGTTGCGAACGCGGTTATGCTGTTGTTGCATGTGTTTGTTTTTTCCGCACATATGGGCATAGCGCGTTCCGTAATGGTTGGCATGGCCGGGAAAGATAAGACACGAGCTTATCTATGTATGTTCTCTTGGGAGAAGATTGTTTATTGAAACCAAAAGAACCAAACGCAAACGCGAGTGGGCCTTGTTTACACTACGTTTGTCATATTATGATCTACAGGCAGTGCACCTCGCCACGGTCCTCTTCGTGACCGTCCACATGGTTGGGAAGCAATTGGATGCCATGCCGGCACTTCGGAGGAGGCCTTCTTGTCGTTTTCGATTGGCATTTGCGTTCCCGTCTGCAAGTGAAAACTGTCCAGCAGACGTTTTTCGTTCCTATGGACCCCCATGGTGCGTCGTGTCTTTCTTTGCTGGCCACGAGAACACTGCTGACTGTGATCCACCCCGTATTGCGGCGATTCAAAAGCACAACATGAGGCAACGTGTGTCACATACAAGGTCCTTGGTCCGCTGCTGCTGCTACTCTGTAGCAGTAAGGGCTGTGCCTACCAGGCGACCGGCAACTTGTTGCCGGGGGTACAAAGCGAGGGGTTAGTATTACACACAGGAGACACGCTCAACATTAACTGCTGACGCGGGTCTTGGTAAATAGCTCTTCCTTCCTGTGGGTGAGCTTACACAACGCGCTCGCTTCTAAACCATCTCTCGGCATACGGAATCTACTCGAGGAAGCAGGGTCATCGGTTGGTGATGAGCGTATCTTCTTTTCTTCCTCGCCATCCCGTCAACATGTCAGACACACACCCGTTCCGTGCTCTTTCATGATAATGCATCTTACAGTCACAGGGTCGTCACGGGTCCATCATCAGCGCCGCCATCAACACTCTGTCATGACTCTACTCCCTCCGGCAACGCCCCTGCCCCCGGCATCGCCCCCTCCCGGTCCTCCGACACCTCCGCGGCACTGACCGCCGCCGCTGCCGCCGCTGCCGCCGCCGCCGCTGCTGCCGCCGCTGCTCGATCCGCTGCAATTTCGTTGGGGTAGCGAGGAGCGTTTCGTGTTCCACCACCGCCGACGCCGCCCCTGCTTTTGCTCCTGCCTTGTCTTGCGGAGGAGAAAAAAGTGGGCGTGAAGGGGTGCTGCTTCGAGAAGAGGTCCGTTTGTTGGCGTAGCAGGAGGCTCCGACGTCGCTCGCTCTTTATGTTTTCTCGACGGCGCACATCCTCCATTTTCGTCTTCCACCGGGGAACGTTTGTATTTGTTACATGGGAATTCAGGCGCAACGAGTGGAAGAGAAAGACAGACAGACAGACACAGAGTGAGAGAGACAGAGAGAGATACAGAGAGAGAGAGAGAGAGAGAGATAGAGAGAGAGAGAGAGAGAGAGAG